TCTGTTAACACTCGTGTTCTCTTAACACAGGTAATCTCCTATAAAGGTGTTTTCTTAACACATATGTTCTCCTAATACAGATATCCTCTTAAAACAGCCGTTTTCTTAACACGTGTAAATTCATTATACCGGTGTTCTCTTAATACATGTGTTCTGCTAATACAGGTGTTCTATTAAAACAGGTGTCATTCTTGTATAGGTTATTACTTTACACATGTGTTCTCCTAATACAGATGATTATTCAAACAGGTGTTCTCCTTATACAGATGTCCTCTTAACACTGGTGTTCTCCTAATACAGATGTTCTCTTAACACTGGTGTTCTCCAAATACAGGTGTTCTCCTAATACAGATGTTCTCTTAACACTGGTGTTCTCCTAATACAGATGTCCTCTTAACACTGGTGTTCTCCTAATACAGGTGTTCTCCTAATACAGATGTCCTCTTAACACTGGAGTTCTCCTAATACAGGTGTTCTCCTAATACAGATGTCCTCTTAACACTTGTGTTCTCCTCATACAGGTGTTCTCCTAATACAGATGTCCTCTTAACACTGGAGTTCTCCTAATACAGGTGTTCTCCTAATACGGATGTCCTCTTAACACAGTTGTTCTCCTAATACAGATGATTATTCAAACAGGTGTTCTCCTTATACAGATGTCCTCTTAACACTGGTGTTCTCTTAATACAGATGTTCTCTTAATACTGGTGTTCTCCTAATACAGATGTCCTCTTAACACTGGCGTTCTCCTAATACAGGTGTTCTCCTAATACAGATGTCCTCTTAACACAGGTGTTCTCCTAATACAGATGTCCTCTTAACACTGGTGTTTTCCTAATACAGATGTCCTCTTGACACTGGCGTTCTCCTAAAACAGATGTTCTCCAAATACAAATGTCCTCTTAACACAGGTGTTCTCCTAATACAGATGTCCTCTTAATACTAATGTTCTCCTAATACAGGTGTTCTCCTAATACAGATGTCCTCTTAACACTGGTGTTCTCCTAATACAGATGTTCTCTTAACACTGGTGTGCTCCTAATACAGGTGTCCTCTTAACACTGGTGTTCTCCTAATACAGATGTTCTCTTAACACTGGTGTTCTCCTAATACAGGTGTTCTCCTAATACAGATGTCCTCCTAATACTGGTGTTCTCCTTATACAGATGTTCTCTTAATACTGGTGTTCTCCTAATACAGATGTCCTCTTAACACTGGTGTTCTCCTAATACAGGTGTTCTCCTAATACAGATGTCCTTTTAACACTGGTGTTCTCCTAATACAGATGTCCTCTTAATACTGGTGTTCTCCTTATACAGATGTTCTCTTAATACTGGTGTTCTCCTAATACAGGTGTCCTCTTAACACTGGTGTTATCCCTATACAGATGTCCTCTTAACACAGGTGTTCTCTTAATACAGATGTCCTCTTAACACTGGTGTTCTCCTTATACAGATGTCCTCTTAACACTGGTGTTCTCCTAATACAGGTGTTCTCTTAACACTGGTGTTCTCCTAATACAGATGTCCTCTTAACACAGGTGTTCTCCTAATACAGATGTCCTCTTAACACTGGTGTTCTTCTAATAGAGATGTTCTCTTAACACTGGTGTTCTCCTAATACAGGTGTTCTCTTAACACTGGTGTTCTCCTAATACAGATGTTCTCTTGACACTGGTGTTCTCCTAATACAGATGTTCTCTTGACACTGGTGTTCTCCTAATACAGATGTTCTCTTTACACTGGTGTTCTCCTATTACAGGTGTCCTCCTAATACAGATGTCCTCTTAACACTGGTGTCCTCCTAATACAGATGTCCTCTTAACACTGGTGTTCTCCTAATACAGATGTTATCTTAACACTGGTGTTCTCCTAATACAGATGTTCTCCTAATATAGTTGTTCTCCTAATACAGATGTTCTCTTAACACTGGTGTCCTCCTAATACAGATGTTCCCTTAACACTGGTGTTCTCCTAATACAGATGTTCACTTAACACTGGTGTTCTCCTAATACAGATGTTCACTTAACACTGGTGTTCTCCTAATACAGATGTTCACTTAACACTGGTGTTCTCCTAATACAGATGTTCACTTAACACTGGTGTTCTCCTAATACAGATGTTCACTTAACACTGGTGTTCTCCTAATACAGATGTTCCCTTAACACTGTTGTTCTCCTAATACAGATGTTCTCTTAACACTGGTGTCCTCCTAATACAGATGTTCCCTTAACACTGGTGTTCTCCTAATACAGATGTTCTCTTTACACTGGTGTTCTCCTATTACAGGTGTCCTCCTAATACAGATGTCCTCTTAACACTGGTGTTCTCCTTATACAGATGTCCTCTTAACACTGGTGTTCTCCTTATACAGATGTCCTCTTAACACTGGTGTTCTCCTAATATAGATGTCCTCTTAACACTGGTGTTCTCCTAATATAGATGTCCTCTTAACACTGGTGTTCTCCTAATACAGGTGTTCTCTTAACACTGGTGTTCTCCTAATACACATGTTCTCCTAATATAGTTGTTCTCCTAATACAGATGTTCTCTTAACACTGGAGTTCTCCTAATACAGATGTTCTCTTAACACTGGAGTTCTCCTAATACAGATGTTCTCTTAACACTGGAGTTCTCCTAATACAGATGTTCTCTTAACACTGGAGTTCTCCTAATACAGATGTTCTCTTAACACTGGAGTTCTCCTAATACAGATGTTCTCTTAACACTGGAGTTCTCCTAATACAGATGTTCTCTTAATACTGGTGTTCTCCTAAAACAGATGTTCTCTTAACACTGGTGTTCTCCTAATACAGATGTTCTCTTTACACTGGTGTTCTCCTATTACAGGTGTTCTCCTAATACAGATGTCCTCTTAACACTGGTGTTCTCCTAATACAGGTGTTCTCCTTATAAAGATGTTCTCTTAACACTTGTGTTCTCCTAATACAGATGTTCTCTTAACACTTGTGTTCTCCTAATACAGATGTTCTCTTAACACTGGGGTTCTCCTAATACAGGTGTTCTCCTAATACAGATGTCCTATTAACACTGGTGTTCTCCTAATACAGATGTTCTGTTAACACTGGTGTTCTCCTAATACAGATGCTCTCTTAACACTGGTGTTCTCCTAATACAGATGTTCCCTTAACACTGGTGTTCTCCTAATACAGATGTTCACTTAACACTGGTGTTCTCCTAATACAGATGTTCACTTAACACTGGTGTTCTCCTAATACAGATGTTCTATTAACACTGGTGTTCTCCTAATACAGATTTTCTATTAACACTGGTGTTCTCCTAATACAGATTTTCTATTAACACTGGTGTTCTCCTAATACAGATTTTCTATTAACACTGGTGTTCTCCTAATACAGATTTTCTATTAACACTGGTGTTCTCCTAATACAGATGTTCCCTTAACACTGGTGTTCTCCTAATACAGGTTGTTCTCCTAATACAGATGTCCTCTTAACACTGGAGTTCTCCTAATACAGATGTTCTCTTAACACTGGGGTTCTCCTAATACAGGTGTTCTCCTAATACAGATGTCCTATTAACACTGGTGTTCTCCTAATACAGATGTCCTCTTAACACAGGTGTTCTCCTAATACTGGTGTTCTCCTAATACAGATGTTCTATTAAAACTGGTGTTCTCCTAATACAGATGTTCTATTAACACTGGTGTTCTCCTAATACAGATTTTCTATTAACACTGGTGTTCTCCTAATACAGATGTTCTCCTAACACTGGTGTTCTCCTAATACAGATGTTCTCTTTACACTGGTGTTCTCCTATTACAGGTGTTCTCCTAATACAGATGTCCTCTTAACACAGGTGTTCTCCTAATACTGGTGTTCTCCTAATACAGATGTTCTATTAACACTGGTGTTCTCCTAATACAGATGTTCCCTTAACACTGGTGTTCTCCTAATACAGATGTTCCCTTAACACTGGTGTTCTCCTAATACAGATGTTCTATTAAAACTGGTGTTCTCCTAATACAGATGTTCTATTAAAACTGGTGTTCTCCTAATACAGATGTTCTATTAACACTGGTGTTCTCCTAATACAGATGTTCTATTAAAACTGGTGTTCTCCTAATACAGATGTTCTATTAACACTGGTGTTCTCCTAATACCGGTGTTCTCTTAACACTGGTGTTCTCCTAATACAGAAATTCTCTTAACACTGGTGTTCTCCTAATACAGGTGTTCTCCTCATACAGATGTTCTCTTAACACTGGTGTTCTCCTAACACAGATGTTCTCTTAACACTGGTGTTCTCCTAATAGAGGTGTTCTCCTAATACAGATGTCCTCTTAACACAGGTGTTCTCCTAATACTGGTGTTCTCCTAATACAGATGTTCTATTAACACTGGTGTTCTCCTAATACAGATGTTCTATTAACACTGGTGTTCCCCTAATACAGATGTTCTCTTAACACTGGTGTTCTCCTAATACAGATGTTCTGTTAACACTGGTGTTCTCCTAATACAGGTGTTCTCCTTATACAGATGTTCTCTTAACACTGGTGTTCTCCTAATACAGATTATTATTCAAACAGGTGTTCTCCTAATACAGATGTCCTCTTAACACAGGTGTTCTCCCTATACAGATGTTCTCTTAATACTGGTTCAAATGAGGAAGCTTAAAAGTGGGCTCTCACGTTCAGTTAACAAAGAAGCATGGCAATGGAAAATATTAAAGGTGGTTGCTTAATGAAAGATTTTGATCGAATCGGTTGCATGAAAAGGTTTGACTTTATATCTTATTCTCAATTTTGCTTTAGTGCGATTTTTGGTTGATCATACCGTATAGTGTTGACTATAGATCGACTCCGTGTAATTAAAATGTGTTTGAATTCCCTGGTACACTAGTATTAAATCAGCTCAGTAGACTGTGACCCCGTGTCATTGTTCCAGATTATTATGTGCGATACTGTTGTGTACATTCTATACATTGGTACAATTACCTACCTATATCTGATCAGGAGTCGGACCCATTATATCCCCCAACAGAGACTACGGGTTATACTTTAATGTCTGAGTGTATTCTGGTCTCAAACAAATGTTAAGTCGTAAGAGTAAGAAACAGACACGTCAGGAGGATCCATTTAAGTGATATCTCGGCCGTGTCCTTTCGTATTAAAAAGAGAGAATTAATTACAAAGTCGTACTGGATTAAACTTGAGACTTTTTAAATGGCCGAGACTCGGTGGACTCCCACATGTCCTCAGGTTAACGATGGTATCGGACGAGTCAACCCTCCACATCTACGGTTAGTACGTGTGTACGTGTGACGGGAACAGTACGGCCACTTAAATACTTAAAACCAATCTGTCAGAATACTTTATTACATTTAATCTAATTGATTCTTCTAATGAAGGACACAATTTTGCTCTTATGTTTGAGAATTCCTCCTGTGAATACTTATATATCGGTACTTTTTCAACATTTTAATGTTTTGGCACCGTTACAAATGCGAAGACAATCTTTATGAGGCATATAATTAGGTTTGAGGGAAGGGCTATTATCAATATGTGTATAAAATATCCCCTGGCAAACCTAATTCAATGAGACGTACCAGCAGATATCTAAAGTGTGGAGCCCAATGGGAGACAGTGAATTTTAAAGACAGCTCGTAAAGTACGATTGAATGGAATTGTAACCTAAATTGGCGTGAAGGATTGCTTTGCCAAACCTGAGAATTCAATTTTGCAAAAATGAAGAGTTAATATCCCTAAGGGACAGATGTGCGGGTCCAATAGAGGAAAGTGGGGTTCGATCGTAAATATCATTATCTACTTCATTACAGATGAAGAGATTCGTTAGCAAGACCTTATAGAGGAATGTTGGTTTCCTTTCTCTTTGTCAATTTTAACTGATTCTCATAATAATAATAATATACAGCATTCATATAGCGCCCTATATAATTTATAAGATTACTCTAAGGCGCTTTACAACATATGGATAATAGTAATGGTTATAATTGTGTAAACAAACAACAAAGGCTTGCAATCACTTTCATACATTTAACAAGCAATGTGCACATATTTGAACAAATAAAAGGGTGGTATTTACATGACGTCTTTGCAAAGATTCTAAATTGCAGACGTGGAGAGGTGAGTTTTTATGTCCCTCTTGAACTTGGCCAGGGTATTTGGCTTCCTGATAGCAGATGGTAAGCTACTCCACAACGTAGCCGAAACCCTACCAAAGCATCTGTTTCCGTAGGTCACAGTACGAGATTTTGGGACACACAACAAAGATTCTGACTCCGACCGCAGTGATCTTGACCGCTGATACAGGGTAACAAGTTCCTGTAGGTACTGAGGAGCTGTTCCATTCAGTGCCTTGTATGTGTATACCAGAATTTTGTACTGCGACATGTATCGTACAGGTAACCAGTGCAACGAATAAAGCGCAGGTGTGATGTGCTCTCTCTTTCGAGTACGAGTAACTAGCTCGTTTGTCAGATATACCACAGAGCAGGGCGTTACCATAATCCAACCGAGAGGTAACAAGTGAATGCACCAAAATCTTGCATGCATCTGCAGTTAGAAACTGCCGAATACAGCCGATGTTCCTGATCTTGTAGTAACAGGATTTGGCAAT